TCGTGTTATGGGTTAGGCAGGAGGCCCTGGGGTTTGGCCGTGGGAAGGGAAAAAAAAAAAAAAAAAAGATTGATTTAAATCTGATGAAGACTGTGACTATGACAATGTCAGCCGAAACGGAGACAAACGTACGGTCTTTAAGAGTCTTAGTGATGAACTGAATCTGGTCTGAGGGAGTTCGGAAAGTCCCCTGGTGTTCCAGAATCTCAAATGTCAGTGCATTCAAAATCTTAAAAAAAAAAAAAACAATGGAAAGAATGTGTGTCATTTTTAATTTCAGTGTTTGTTCCTTTGGAAATTCCTACTAAAGGATACTTACAGATTTAAGAGTAATGGAGGGGAAAAATCCGTTGACCACCAGATGGATTTCTTGGGCCAGGTAGGACACGCGGAAGTCCTCTAGCAGGGCTTTTTTGCTTCCCAAACCGTACACCAGAACACTGAAGCCCAACCTGCATACACGGCACACGGATGAGCTGCTGGAATTTGCATTGCATTCACTCAACAGCTGCAACAAAGCCATTCAAACGTAACACTCACTGTAACTGCAGCATCCATTTACTGAAGTGCTTCCTGAGTTTATCGTGCAGCTGCTTGATCTCATCTGCATAACTGGAAGGTTTTCCATCCAAGAGCTGCACCAGTGTATCCTTTAACAAGAAAACACGCAGCTTAGGAACACCCCCCCAAAAATGTGACGCGACGTGGGTCAGACACTCGGACGCCGTTTCACACTGACCCTGTCGAATTTGGGCGTGTGTAAACGCTCAAGGGTGCGATCCGACGTCAAGACCTTCGAAGAACCGTGGGCCTCGAAATACTCCTCGACCATAGTAGGCCGGCCGGCGGTCTCGGAGGTGCTGCTTTTCCGTTTTTTGGCCGGAGTCTTGTACAGGGCTGCGGATAATCCTTTAGACTGTGTCTTACCCGGCGTCTTCGGGTTTTCCTTATATTCCTTCTTTGCTTTCTGCTCCCTCTCCACTTCGTCCACTCCATTCTCTTCTTCAGAGTCTGAAGGAGACAGCTCACTGTCGCTGTCTGAACGAAGGCTTGGAACTGAAAATATAAAACAGCTTTAAATTAGTGTACTCGCTGTCTGAACGAAGGCTTGGAACTGCGAACATGAAACAGCTTTAAATTAGTATATATCCGTTAATTACTAATGGGTAGACTACAGCACGGCTGTTGAAGATCTCCGTGCGTCTTTCTTCAATTCCTGTGTCCAACTAAACAGGCATGGGTTTTACACCAAGTACATTTAATTTTCACACACATTAAACTCACCTGTTATTCTCTTCCCAAGTCTGTGTGGTGTTGTAGAAACAAACTGGACCTTCTTGTCCTGTTAAACATGCATTAAAAATGAAATAAGAAGGTAGGGGGCGGGAAAAAAAAAAAAACAACGTTCGACTTCTTTTTGATGAACATATTAAAACAGCTTTGTCTTGCCATTCGCGGTGTCCGACTTTGACCTCTCGGCTCTGAAAACAAAAACAAAGAAAGAAGATTTAAGGTTGCACGTTTAACGACAGAGACCAGGAAGAAGAGGATGGAAAACGGGCAACGGACTCACCAGAGCCTGTTCTAGTTGGAGTCGAGGGTTGCACATGTGTCTTGCTGAATGTTACACTTTTCCCAGGGGTCTTTGCCAAATCACTGGCTAAGTTGAAAAAAAACACAAAAACCACCTTTAGAGAGTGTTTTATGATTTAAGCCTTATGTTTCCAGTGCATGTGAGTGTGTGTGTGGTGGTAATTCTTACCGGTCTGAGCCATGCTGTGGCTCCGCTTGATTTGTTTAAAAGTAAAAATAGAGGATCCAGTGACTCGGGACACACCATCTTCATCATCTGTAAACGAGAAAGAAAAAGTTCTTCTGGATTTAAAAAAAAAAAAAAAGGTCCATTTGTAATGTTTGTTTGGAACAGTCTAAAAAATAACAGCGAACGATAATGAACATTGGGGAGACCGTGGGTAAGTTGGACGAGATGTTCGTTGTTTTAAAAAACTAAACTTTTTAAGATGATAAGACAATGAGAATAGGCACCCAATTCGTCCTTCTTGATGATGTACTATTTTAAAAGGGTAAATAAATAAAAAGACCAGACATCCTATTTCATAATCTCACAAGTAGCCATACATTTTTTTTTATTTCTAAAATTTATTCAATTAAAAATGTCAATGTGAAAATATGAGTTTTCCCCGCGTGCCACTAGAGAGCGCTCGCGTACAACAGTTTGAGAACCACTGGCCTAGGGCACCAAATTGGGTTGAGCAAGCTTCATAAGTTTTTCAGTGCAAGCTTTGATTTTACCTACATGGGACTACGATAGCGTGGAAACTAAAAGTGAAGTGAAGTTTTTTTTAGTGCATGTGAAGGAAAATACTTTATTATTATTATTGATAAAATATTGATTTATTGATTGACATCTAAAAACTGTATCTATTTACAGTAAAGCCTTAAGAACTTCAATTGAATTCTTTAATTTTAGAACCAGTCTCTTGTTGTATCTATTTACAGTGAATCACATATAAATCCCAAAACATAAGATATTACTGACTACTTTCGGAAAACAGCACTGACGCAATTTACTTAAAAACTCAAATTCACAGTGGGCCAAAATTAAAAACTGGGACGAAGTCTTGGCTAAGACAAACTTAATATTTATTGAAAAATTGACAGTAATTCTCGTGTTTTCCTTTTTATCCAGATCTGTAACGTTTTATTTTTTCAAATGGAAACAAACTTTAGTTTTGCGTAAACACCGAGTCTGTAGCCTTTTGAGTTTCTTTTTAATGTAAATCTTTTTTTCACAGGTTTTGGTGTACGTGTCTTTGTGCATTACTCACCTTCTGTACCTAAAGCTTGGACATAGTTCTGCTCATCCAGTGCACCACAATCATTATTGTCTGCGCTGTCATTCAATGCTGCTTCCTCTTTGCTTCTGGTCCTGTAGGGACTGCTGAACTTGACCATCTTTGATACCAACGCTCTTCTGCTTTGGACAGAGGTGGAGAGACATACACGTCAAACATTACAATACAACAACAATACAATTACGACGTCAACAATGACCCATTGCATTCTGTTTGTACACTAAGGCTGTAACTGTGTACTCAGACCAAAACTTTCAATATAGAACGTTCGGTAAAAAAAAAAAAAAAATACACGTGTACAGACATGAATGTCTTTCCGGGTAAAAACAACAACACACAAAACGCTTCTCCTAGCAGGAATAATAATGTCTTCGCCTATTGCCCTTCACGGTAAGTACGCGTTTCTTTTGAGCGACTCAATGAAATAACAGTTTAAAGTGGTGATACAGAAGAATGCTGATAACAAAAAAAAATACCTGAAACAAAACAATTCAGTCGATATCGTTGGTATGCTGCGTAAAAGGTTCAATAACAGTACGAGGGTGGAACTAAAAGTATGGCAGACGAAACAATTTTAAACACGTGACGAGGATGGCGACCAATCAGAACGGCGGCTTCGACAAAAACACAATTTCCCACAACACTCTTGACCCTCACTTTGTTAATCTTCCGGTTGAAAAGGGACAACGTGTTGTAGACTGCTAATTTTCACATTTGTCAAAAACAAAAGTCTATGTACCTACAAAGTTGACAACCACCTAGTATTTTTTTTTAAACATTTAAACAAAAGACAGGAGTCTGTACTGGGTCACCAGTCACAACAAGGGAACTTATATAGTTTTTTAAAAACAATATATATATATATATATATATATATATTCACTCCTTTAATTGTTGATAATTACAAAGTATTTACTTTCCTCTTCGTCAGGGCTTTTTGGTGGATTTCTTGTTGGAGGGTATCTTTGTAAATGGCACTTGACTGAGATTACACAATTCCCCACGAGCACCTTAGGTCCATGGGGGCTACCAGGTGCCCCCGGGCACCATTATATATATATATATATATATACATATATATATATATATATATATATATTCACTCCTTTAATTGTTGATAATTACAAAGTATTTACATTTACGCATATATATGTATATATATATACAAATATATGCGTATACATATTTGTGCATGCATATATATATATACACATGCATATATATGTATATATACGCATATATATGCATATATATACATATATGTATATATATATACATATATATGCGTATATATACATATATATATGCATGTATGTATGTATTTCTGAATGTAATGTATATTGTTTCCTCTTTTTTATCCTTTTATTAAGTAACTTACTGTCCAGTTTCTTTCATTGAAACACTACAGGTATGTAAAGCCAGAGTCAAATGCTTTGGTTTGGTTTGATAAAAGAATCAATCTTGTAATCTATGTACATCTAAAAACTGTATCTATTTACAGTAAAGCCTTAAGAACTTCAATTGAATTCTTCAATTTTAATTTGAGAAAAACCAGTCTCTTGTTGTATCCCAAAACATAAGATAAAAGAACGCGTTTCGGAGTGTATCCAATACTGTCTGCAATGGCTGAATTAAGATCTGTAGAGAGAAGTAAGAAATGCAGAAAGATATATACTTATAATTGTTTTTATTTTTATTTATTTATAACAATTTGTTCTGAATCGTACAGTACATTAACTTAGCATAACAGTGGTTTCATAGTGTAGTAGATAGCACACCTGTCTTGCAAGCAGAAAGTCCTGGGTTCATTTCCCAGAGGAAGCACGTATCCAACTAAAGGAACTTTTTTTTTTGATTTTTGGAATGGTCAGATTCTCAAGATTCCGATGGTACCTAAAAGCACCTGGTGTGACTGCTGCAACATTACCATGACATCGTCATAATCTGTGCAGACGTGGCGCGTTGCATCCGTTATCAAGCTGCTCTGCTCCTCAACCTAGCGTGTAGCTAGCTGGCACATAATCATTTTCTGAAGCTAAACAAATAAAAAGATCATCAAATAATGAAAAGAAAATACATTCTCAAAGTTAATGCGACTTTACATATTTTCTAGCATTGTCTCTGTGTTCGCAAAGGGGGTCCAGATGCCTGCCCAGACACTAATGCCGCGGGGGGCGTTGGCATGGAAAAATTAACGACAGTGACAGGCTAAAAATTTAAATACTGATTCACTAGATAAAAACATACTTTTTTTTCATCTTTTGGCTGGGTTTGCAATTCACAGTATACTCTGGTGTGACTTCTATATTAAAATATAAAATTTCACGTTTGTTATTTTCAGACTGACAGCCGCTAGAGGGCACTCTAGGCTTTTGTACCAATATCTGCTACTCTTGTACAACTGAAAATTGACACGTTCGTTTATTTCACACTGACAGCCACTAGAGGGCACTGATGCGACTTATACCCTGGAGCAAATTTATAGTCCTAAAAATACGGTGAATCGAATCTGTAAATCATCAGAAAATTAACTGATTAAAGAGTTGTTCACCACCCACGAGTGGGTGTCCACCCTCCCACCAGACTGCCCTCTGAGTGCACATGGTAGATGGGATGCATTGCTGCCGTTGCGCAAGCCTAAAAGCGACCAAAACAGAGAGTTAGACAGGTATATATTAAGATCATAAGCTAAGTGCATCCACTTCAAATCATACTTACATGGTAAGGGATCAGTGTGAGCAGAGTGCCCAGTGGGTATTTGTCATAGTCCAGCTGTCCAGAGATGGGCTCTACTCTACCATGCTCCTGGGTCATAGACAACAACCTAGAAATTGTTTCAGCCTCATCAAGATTTTGGATGGATTTCAATTTCGATGGTTTCATTAAGTACTCACAGCGAAGACCTACTTGAGATTCGGGTGGCCTTCAATCACGGCATATCCAGTGGGAAGTTTTCCAGCACCATCTAGGCTGAGATTGAGGGAAAACAAAATGTGGTGAACAACCAAAATCAATTTCATTGTGATTTAATCTCAGACAAGTATATATACAAGGATGGTTGTTCAATACAGTGACATACGAGTATTTCGAGATATGAGCACGCTTACGGACACCGAAGCTAGGTGGCCAAGCACTCAGGGCAGCCCACCACATTTTATTTTATGTCACAGGAATCCTTATATACTATACTTTTTTTGTGTGTGTATGTCTCTATAGCCATTAAGAACATGTTTTTTCCATTGTTATTAGCACTAATAAGGGAGCGCCGGAACGGATTAATTTGCTATTTCTCATGGTAAAAAAAATGATTTCAGATCCGAGCACCTCAAGTTACGAGCTCGGTCCTGGAATGGATTTTGCTTGTATCTCAAGGTATTACTGTATATGTAAGGATGGCCGTCCGAAGTAACATTATTGTATTACAATCTCAGTAATATTGCTTGTATATTTGTATATTACAAATGTCAATTGACAGACAGCTCCTTATAACAGGTCTGTTAAAAAATAATAAAATATTTTTTTAAGATATTGGGCAATCAACGTTATAGCCAGACCATAAACCCAAAACTAGCTAAAGGTGCTAAAATAAGATCAGAGTGAAAAACCTGAGTGCGCTCCATCCACAGTCGACGAGGAACTGGTTCCTGTGAGGAGAATGGCCAATGATCCGCGTCAAAACCTTCACGGCCACATCCTTTAGGGTGCATGAACCTATTGTAGACTGCTGCACATCTACGACAGAACAAAAAAAAAATTGCCAAGATATTTTACAAGACAGCTAACTTGGTCAGACCTCCAGTACATCCACGCTCGTGAACTGACCGTAAAAGACATAGTTTCCGGGATGAACTTCACTGAGCTTTTCCATGTCTTTGACTGGGTGACTGCAGGATGGGGTGGAGCCAATGCTGGACTTACAGGTGATGCCAGCAAGTTTTAGTCTGCCAGACATTAATCACAGGATGAAAAAAAAAGTAAAAAAAAAAAAAGACAATAGTCCAGGTCAGTACCATTGTTCTTTGCTCTTACTTTTCCATGAACTGCAGAGTCAAACGTGTAGTTTCCTGAGCCACCTCTTGTATTTCCGTCACCCCTCTGCAGCCGTACGTGTTTCCACAGTGAGCGTACACTCCTTTCAGCTCCACCCCCCGTGCTTCTGCCATGGCCTTGGCCAGACGCAGTGCTCCATCATCGGAGTGCAGCACGCCGGCTACAACAGAGACCAACACGATTATACAGTATGCGCCCAGTAAAATCTGACCGGATGTAGTATTGAGTTCCACAGTTCACCTCTCCCATTGCCGCAGTCTAGTTTCAGCCAGACGTTCCACTGTCGACCGTCTCTCAGCGGTCTCTTTTTGAGCTGCTCCAGAGCGTCAGGATGATCCAGCAAAACTTGAAAAAGGTCGAGCCTCTCAGAAAGGGACGCACATTTCTCCACCTACGCACACATGCAACCGGAGATGTAGACATTTGGGACCGCTAAAAAAAGCTTAATATTGTTATTAAGCTCAGTTTTTATGCTCAATGGCAAATCGACCCAATTTGTGATGAACCCTAGCATCTAGCACAGGCGTGGGCAAACTTTTTGACTCACGGGTCACAATTGTCCCTAAAATTGAACAGGAGGGCCGGGTCAGGAGCAGATAGAAGGAGAATTCATGTGAACTAAGATAAATGACATGTAAAAGTCATGCATAAAGGCTAAAATGCTATTATCATTTTCTATGCCATCTAGTGGGGAAATGTGGGTATTGCAGGCAATAGAAGTATAATGATAGTATAAATAAATTATACCATTTGGGAAAGCTTGGCGGGCCGGATTAAAAAGCTGAACGGGCCGCATCCGGCCCCCGGGCCTTAGTTTGCCCATGCCTGAGCTAAACCCAGACAGTGTGTGCATTCCTCTGCTGCTCTATCTTTCCCAGGACGAGCCAAACAAGCCCATAGCTTTTTCTTCAAAAATCAATCAAGGCGGGTGAAGTGTATGGCTACGGAAGCACTAAATTTGGTAACGTGGGCATAGAATGAATGATGAAACATGAGAAAAACAATTATCGAAATATTTCTCAACAGTTCTTGTGCTGATAATCCCAAGTGGACATATTTACATATTTTCAGAAATCATGAGCTACTGTATGATACTGCGCAGATGCACGCCAATTCTAGACAATCTAACACTGCAGCTGTCTACCGGGTTTTCCTGTTTTTCAGCACCATAAAATGGGTAGCAGTAATAATGTGAACATCTTGACCAATATGTGTGTGGCTGTTACAAATAGAGCTTCGGATCCAAAAGTTATTGGACATAACAATAGCATTCTATTGTAAAATTAAGTAACCCAGACTTTAAATAGGATAGGAGAACCTTGTCAAACGGAATAGAGTATGCATAAAGGATGTCATCATATCCATGGTCAGCGTAGAAAGTGGCCTCCGCAAGTGTGGACACGACAATGCACCTTCGTGATCCACCTGTCATTATGTCAGCACATTCACTGCACACATAAAAACACATAAAAACATACTCAGGCTCGAGTTGGAGCCAGTAAAAAACACTAATTACACAAGCACTATGAGGGTGTGTGTGTCCCTCCTTACAGGGTTTTGTGAGTTTTCATGTGTGGCCGAAGCTGCACTCCTAGCTTCTGACAGCGTTCAATCATCTCATGGGCATTTTTCTTCACTTTCTTTAAATCCACCACCAGGGCAGGTGTGCACAGAGCAGACAGAGGGTCCCCTTCCATGTTTAGGGCACTTCTACAACAACAAAAAACATGTTTTTTTTTAATGCAATTTTATTTTTGACACGACCAACTCAAAATCATACAGATATGTTTAGTACTCAATGAACAAGGTAATACTTTATTTTTGGAAAATACTACGGAAATGTTGCTACGTATATCCGGTTACAGTAAATATATCATTATAAATATAATAAAATATTATCTGTATATGTCGGTATTGTTTTTTCTTTATCAGATTTGTATTCCCCCCGTCAAATTTGTAGGCTTAACAGTGACGCCATTACAACCATCCGTGGCTAACATGCTTGCCTGTTCGGCGCGAATTGCAATTAGTACAACACGTTAGTTATGGGGGGAAGAACATGATCAATAATCTATAGACGTGGAATTATTTTGTAAACCCGCTACGCTAGAAATTTATTATCGAGTAAGACGTCTAGTTTTTTTACTTATTCGCTTACCGGAAGCTCTACTTCTTCTTCTCTACTTCGTTTTACCAACCCTGAAGTTACACAGCCCCATCTGCTGGTCTCGTCTGGTAACACGTTACTTTTGAAGACGTATTCCTCAAGTAAGTTCTAACCGGGCATTTAATTTTCTTTCTGCAATAATTTGTTGATACCGTGGAAGCAGACGGTTTTATTTTCATTTTCATTTTATTTTTTTATTTTTGATCTCTAAATACAGTAAATGACTTATAGCTATGTATAAAAAGCAGTATAAGAAATATTGAAAAAACAAAAACAAAACAACTACATTCAAGTTTAACTTCTGTCTTCTACTTCTTTTTCTTTCGGCTTTGTCCCTTTTTTTCAGGGGTTGCCACAGCAAATCATTGATTTCCATCTCTCCCTGTTCTCTGTATCTTCTACTCTGACTCCAACTATCTGCATGTCCTCCCTCACTGCATCCATATATCTCCTCTTTGGTCTTCCTCTCTTTCTCCTACCTGGTAGCTCCATCTCTAACATTCTTCTACCAATGTATCCACTGTCCCTCCTCTGCACATGTCCAAACCATCTCAATCTGGCTTCTCTAGCTTTTCCTCCAAACCTTCCTGTCTGTGTTGTCCCTCTAATGACCTCATTCCTGATCCTGTCCATTCTTGTCACTCCTAAAGAGAATCTTAGCATCTTTAACTCTGCCACCTCCAGCTCCTCCTCCTGTCTTCTGCCTATTGCTACTGTCTCTAAACCATACATCATGGCTGGTCTCACCACCGTCCTGTAAACCTTTCCCTTCACCTTAGCTGACACTCTTCTGTCACAGATCACTCCTGACACTTTTCTCCAGCTGTTCCATCCTGCCTGTAGTCTATTCTTCACCTCTCTTCCACAGTCTCCACTGAAGTTGAACTTGCAATATAAAATACAAAATATTCATGTTCGTCCAAACCTCAATTAAATAATCCTACTTACCATAGTACATCCACAATAAACTGTGGTTTCTGGGAATTTTGATGAGAAATGTCTCCTGGGTGTGTGAATTTCTTTCTCAAATTATAAAAATGGCGATAAGCCTAAATTCTGTACTAATTTTCACTGGAATATTTAAATATACACGTCAGTTCGGCTAAGGAGTTCAATGAACTGTGGTAAATTACTATCAAATTAATTGAACCACCTTGAAGAATATACTACCGATATACAGTAATACCTAATTTCATTACAGCTAAAGATGTTTCGACCGCAATAATTTGCATTAAAACACTTTTTAACTATTTCCCATTTTGATTTATATATTAATGAGCTCCGGACTGCCCAGTGCAAAAAAACAAAACAAAACAAAAAAACAACAACAACAAACGCCCTCCCCAAAAACTGGGCCATGGCTCACTGTCGTACACAACGTATTTCAGGAAGAAGTTGGCGCCTGAAGCCCCACATCCTGTTAGCCTAAACGCTACACAAACTATGCGTTACACTCCATCTTAATGCTTTCCTTTTCTTTTGTTCTAACTGAATTAATCCAAAATGGACAACATGGGTACGTAATATCGCAGAATGGTTTATTTTTTAATCTGTGCATTATAGTGCATTGCAAAAAAAAAACAAGGACTAGCCGAGCCTAAACAGGCCTCGTCTAATCGCTGGAACAAGACATGCTTAGCCTCGACGCTAAAGCTGATTTTTAAAACGCAACACCAATGTCACTGGTTGGTTTATCAATTTCTATTGAATTTCTATTGAGCCAAGCTGTATGTGTACGGGCAAACAGCTAATGTAACACGAATTCTCCTCGTTATGCTAACGTGCTAAGTGGCGAACCTAAATTCAATTCAGTTGTGCGGCGAGTGTTTAGCCCCAGTTGTCAGCGTTTGAGCGTTGTTAGAGTTTGCAACGTTCCGTAATTGTTTTAATGTGTAACACGCGACTGCATAGTCATTTTGTATGGCCCCCGGGAGTTTGAAAAGCATTTAATAAAGTCCATGCAGAGTTTCTAAACCTGATCAATTAAATGTTGTTTTTTTTTAAATATTACACAGCAATGAACAGTATTTGTAACTTGTACATAAATACTAATAAATTGCAGAAACATTTAATAATAAGTTATGGAGTAGCTACATCTATACAGTCTACCAGTTACAAACTGGCTCTTAAAGGGGGACTATTGCTGATGTGGCGCCCTGGTGAAAAATACGTTTAGACCTTGTGTCGTATTGTGACCCATTACAATCAAAAGGCTGAATTTGATCTCTTCTACAATTTAGCAACCTGAACTGTTCATAAGGGAGGCGGTGTTAACCATTCATACCGTAAAATCTGAATGCTAAAATGTATAATTCCTACTACCAGGGAAAGTAAAAGAATTGGTATGTGTATGTTTTAATTCAATTTGTGCACTGTGAGGAAGTTAGGAGTGGCAGAAAAGTACATGCACATTGTGTACAAGTACATTGAGGATCAGAAGGACAGTGATGACGTGAGTTCAGCTAGAGATGCACCTATTGCAGTTTTGTGGCTGACTCTCTGTGTAAACGTCATTTGTGGCAAGACTCTGGTAAAGCTTTGTCTGAAAAATGATACAAAAAGTGAGCCTGGGGTTTTCCATGCTCACTGTAAAGTAACAACACGTTAGCTTTAGCTTATGAGCGAGCGCTTTATCTCCCCGTTCTTAACCACAGAACAGTGTTGACCGGCTTTCCACTGGTGAGGGCCAATGATGTTAAAAGCCATCCGATTTCAAAGACATAATGTATAACTTGCGGACAACACCATCCGATTTCAAAGACATAATGTATAATAACTTGCGGACAACATAGTTCCGCAATTTGGTTAGAAAATGGCCTTATCCCGTCTTAAATTATCTCCGCAGAATTTGTTCCCTTTTCTTCACTGGCACTCTTGGTTCCACCTTTACGATTGATGTCTGCAGCGATGTGGGAAGTTGTGCGTCAGCGTAACGTAAAGCACTATGGGAAACTGGAGGAGTTTGTTTCTATGGTAACCGACGCAGTTCCTGAACTTATGAGTAAAAGAGAAGGGAGGCTGCTCTCACTGGGATTAAGGGCAAGGGTAAGCCATTTAAAATGTTTGAATTTGTATGTAATAGGTTATTTAAAATCAGAAATACTTCTTAGATTTCAAAAGTTGTTGGTGTTCCAGCAATTGACAACAACACAAGGATGTTTTAAAAAATATCTTCTTTTTTTTTTCTTAATACCAGAGCATTTGAATAGAATGAAATTCTGTTAAGAATAGACTGCTAAAAAACAGACCATGCCTAATACAATTACTATACTCTGTAACACTAATTTTTTTTTTTTTCTTTTTTTTTTTTTTCCATACGAGGCCCCTTTTTTTTTTTTTTTTTTTTTTGCAGACGACTCTTGAGCTGTTGCGTTCTAAGCATCCTGAAGATCTCAAGGCTGTTGAGACCCACCTTAATCGAATTCAATCTACATGCATCGAGGAGGTAAACTATCTATCTATCTATCTATCTATCTATCTATCTATCTATCTATCTATCTATCTATCTATCTATCTATCTATCTATCTATCTATCGAAAATGTTACTTTTTTAATTTTAGGTTTTATTTCCTGCATTTAAATATGTCAGTTAATGCATTTGCATTTTACTCTTTGTCTAATTGGCGTCTTGTTTTACAGACCAATGATTCAATTACGGAAGCACCAGAAGCAAATTTCATGAAACTAGTCCAAGGCCTGATCGAAGACACCAATGGCCGAGAACATTTCCTTAAGGTAAGGCTCATATCATACCTAATGAGATGTAATTAAACATGTGTTTCTTCAAAGTATCCCGGTATTTTGTAATACAAATGTATCAATAATAATAATTAGTGTTACTGCGAGATGACCTTTTCATTTTATTTCGTTTTTATGTAATACAAATGTATCAATAATAATAAGTGTTACTGTGAGATGACCTTTTCATTTTATTTCTTTTTTATTTTTATCTGACAGAATGTGTTTCCAGTAGAGTATGGTCCTGATTTTGACACAGCACTGGAAACTTTAGTTTGTGAATTCTTCTCAAGACTGGAGGAACTCCTGCCAGTGCCAGATTTTAAACAGGTAGCTAAGAAATAATGAGCTAATAATAAGTTTAAAGTCCAAGTGTTGACTTTGTATTCCTGAATTACAGACCGCTTGCTGGATCAGTGCTGCCCCCTCTGTCCTGGAGGAGTACATGCAGTGTGTTTCAAGTGGCGAGGACTTGAAATTTCTTCTCCAGAGCAAACAGTGCAATGGGAAATTGGCGAAAAGTAACATTGGTATGTACATTTAAACAGCGAACGAATCAACAGTTATAAAGTGGGTGTCTGCATGACTATGACTTTGGTTAATTTCTTTCTCCTCTTCTACACAGTTCCGTTTCAGTCAGAGGATCTTCTCATTCCCTCCTTGTCTCTTCCTCCATCGCTAGAGGTAGCCATTGCTTCCCACGCGAGTGCTTGCGAGGATGAAAATAACGAAGTTCCTCAGATAGTCATGTTTGACGAAGAATTGTCGACAAACCCACCTTCTGCAACCGAGTTTCCCGAATCCCCCAAAAGGACTGAATTGTCATTGTCCCCCCACAACAGACCCCAACCGGGAATGCATAAATGCACCGAGTGCAACAAATGTTTCAAACATCACTCCGTCCTCATTGAACACCAGAGGGTTCACACGAGGCTCCATCCTTTTAACTGCTCCGAGTGTGGGAGAGCTTTTAGAACGGCTACGTTGCTGGCCGGCCACAGGTTGCGCAAGTGCAAAAACGCCGCATATCTTTGTATCAAATGCGGGAAGAGCTTTCCGACCTCGCTGGAAAAATTCAGGCACCACTGTCCGAAGCGTGGCCGTATTTATGACTGCGCCCAGTGTGGCAAGACTTTTCAGAAGTCCAGCAGTTTGAAAGAGCACTTACGAACGCACGTTGACAATCGACTCCTCAAGTGCAGCCACTGCGGTTCGTGTTTCTCTGGAATCAGTGACCTGAAGTATCATCAACAGGTCGATCACGATAAACCATACCAATGCAAACGATGCGGCAAAAGTTTCATCTCTTCCAAGTGTCTGACCAAACACCAGCAGAGGCATCAGGACGCGAACCAGGAAGTGGAACCTGCCAAAACGACCGGAGGCAAACACAGGAAAAGTATTTCGGTGCATCTGACTTCTGGACAATCGCTGTCATCGAGAAAGACTTCCGCCAAAACCGTCTACCCCCGGGGCGGAGTTATCCATAACTGTCCACTGTGTGGAAGGAGCTTCAAGTATCGCTTTGAATTTCTGGAACACCAGAGGTTTCACACGGCGGTGAAACCGTACAAATGCTCCCAGTGTGGAAAAGCCTTTCGCACCGAGGTTCACTTGTCCGGGCACAGGAGAAGGAAGTGTAACAACGCCGCCCACATCTGCAACAAGTGCGGCTGTCAATTCAGGTCTCTACACGAGCGCACCAGACACCAGTGTGTGCAGTTGCTGACCAGGTACGAGTGCTCTCATTGCGGAAAGACTTTCAAAATGGCTCATTTGTTGAGGAACCACCAAATGACCGAGCATCAACTCCCCTACAGCCCCAATCACCGCTTTAGGTGTAGATACTGTGATGAGACATTCCAAGGGATAAGCGAACTAAAGTATCATCAACGAGTTGATCACGAAAAACCCTATCAGTGTCAGGAATGCGGAAAGTGTTTCTTGTCTGAAAAATGCCTGGCCAATCACGAGCAGCGGCACAACAACGACAGACCGGAGAGCTGCCTCGTCTGCGGCCGTGGCTTTAGGAATCGCTACGACTTGAAGCAGCACATGCGCACTCACACGGGAGAGAGACCGTACCAGTGCACTCACTGTTCACAGTGTTTCTCCACTGCGGGAGGACTGAGGAGTCACACGAGGGTGCACACGGGAGAGAAACCTCACGTTTGCCCCGACTGTGGGAAGGGCTTCTCCCAAATAGGCGCCATGCGAACACACAGGCTCACCCACACGGGAGAGAGGCCTTTCAAGTGCACAGTGTGCGGCAAAGGTTTCACAATGGCACACAAGGTCACGGTTCATATGCGCGTCCACACCGGAGAGCGACCGTACGTCTGCTCGCAGTGCGGGAAAGCGTTTTCAGACGGAAGTGTGCTGAAACAGCACATGCTGAATCACTCAGGGGTCAGGCCGTACCAGTGCCACATCTGTCCAAAGACTTACACCTGTCTGAATCACCTGAGGCGGCATCTGAAAAGCCACTCTAACATGACCTGACGCTTTTTTTTTTTCTCTTTCCCACAAAGACGTACTCATTCGGAGACTTCCTTTGTATGAGTGTGTGCTGACGTTCTCTTCAAACTTAATCCAGCAATACTAGAGAAGGCGTGTTAACCAATGTCCAGTGGATGCCGATGCTGTTTGATTTGTTAATTATTATAAACTTATGCAAATAGTGCTAACTCTGCGGGCGATCAAAGAAATGAAATAAAATGTGTATTGAAAAAAAAGCAACATAATAAAATGCTGTGGCTGCAGAAATTCTAGTCCTGTGATTTTTTTTTGACTACTGCATTAATCCAACACTAGAGAAATGTTGAACACAATGTTGTAAAATGTGGAATACGTCGCACTGGAATATGAGTCTCAAACTGGAAAAATGAGATTTTCAAATGCTATTTGTTAAAGGTGACATGGTGCCCCCTATTGGCGTATGAAATCCGTTCAGCAGAGGTCTAAAATTTAGACCAATCAAAGCACTGAAACAAAGTGTTTAGACTACTAGTGTCTAGAATCTGAACTCACGTCCCACCTGCTACTGGAAGAAAAAGTTCGCTAGGGGGCAGCAGATGACCATGAACCAGTTCTTCACGCCGTTTAATCAGTCGAAGATGATATTTTCTCCAAAAAAATCGGATCATTCAAAAGCTTGGTGTATTAAAATGAATGTTGTGAAATGAAGGGCTTGTAACTGCACATTACACATTACATAACTGCAAAGGAAAAAAAACAAAAATCTGAGCACAGTATAAACTGTTGAGGAGTGGATGTGGCCAAACGTTTTCCTGCTCCATTTCCTGTCATTAAGTTTTCTTTTGGCGTGGTTTGGAATCTTGATTAGGCTGCAATTTCCTCATCCCCTGACCAAGCCCCAAATTGCTATCTATGGTGTTATGAAGAAGTTCAGTGAAGAGTTCAACTGCAGCGCAGCGAACACAGAAGTACGATTTTGAACCACCTTGGTCTTCTTGTACGTTCGCCGAGCCCCGGGGGCTGATGAGGTCATACACAA